CAACTAATTTAAGGGTCACTATAAATAACCAGGTCAAATTAAGTCGTAAATGGAGAATCAGGGTGCGACAAATAGAAAATTATTCACCGTTACAAGGTAAGTTATAACATACAAGGTACTATTAAAATTAAAAATAAATAAAATGTGCAGCACAATTTAATATTTTAAAAATTTTAATTCTAGGCTATAATTAAATATTTCAAATTTTTGTAAGTTTATGTTTATGATTATTAGTTTTAATACATTTATGAATTATCACCTAGGTTTACGAGTTAGTTAAATAAACTAGTTCCAAAAAAAATTAAAATAATTTTAACGTATTTATAATACATTTTTGTAAATAATATAATTTTATTATAAATTATAATTAATTTTTAATTTCAAACATATTACAGCCCCGTCAGGTGCACTACAGTACTACACCGGCCTAACCGGTGTTGTGGAGAGTTTCAACTTCAATGGCTCCCCATATAAACAAATTGTACCCGCTCATATAACCGGGAACAAATCAATAAAAGTGTCTAGTCACCTAGATACACACTATTACAATAACATGAAATACACTATAAGTATAGCTACGCACCCGAAAATGTGCTCGATCAAATGGACGGCCATTAACATGGACTACGGAGGTCTGTATGAGTCAGTATCGGGTACTGAACTAAATTGTCACAGGTACGATATTATCGAGGACATTGGCGATTACATTGTGATACCCATGAGTTCACTCAATGGGCATAATCTGTTAAACAATGTCTATTGTGGACAGCGTTTAAGCGCACAATTATTCCCGCAGGGCTCGGGTGTGGATGAACCGGTTGTTTGTATGTATTATCTATTAATTTTTAAATTATAGTAGCAATGGTATTGATTTGTGACTGTTTTATCAAGCTCAATTAAAGCCGTTTCAGTTGATGGTGCGCTCGGACTCGTTTCCCATTAATCCGGAAATTTCGACACCCGGTATATTATCGCAACAAAAAGGGTTTCAATTGCGTTACGAACAGATACCCTGTTAATTAAATATGAGATTTGCAGATAAGATTGTTATTGAAAACATGTCATTTATCGTTATGTAAAATTTATTGTAACAATACTACGTATTGACAGGTCCTATAAAAAGTGCCAAAAATAAACTTTATTTCAAAGTAAATATATAATACATAAATGGTATAATTTATAATTTACAGTTTATTTAATTATAGTAGGTTTTCGCTACACCAAAAATAAACATTATTTATAACTATTATTCAACTTATAATTAATTATTAATTGTGTCCAATTTTATTAAATAATTAAATTAACAAATACTAGTGAGATTACTAGTATAAAATTGATATTTGATTTATAATTATTATCTCTGTTAATAACTAATTTGACTACATCATATTGTAACGGCACAGGTATCTCAAAGTCTCAAACCATCTGTTTAGATAATATTAAATAAAATTTCTAATAAATAAACGTCAATTATTATCTATCTATAATTATTAAAATTATCATTCCTGGCTCAAATCTATTCTCAATTGCGATATGAATTGTAATTAATTTTCATTAAAAATATTAATTTATATAACTTATATTTACGAAATAAAATTTATATTATTTGAACTGTAAGGTTTTATTATGATTAAATTATAGTTTAAAAGTAATCAGGTTAGATTTTTGTTTGGAATAGACAAAATGACAATATTTATTAATTTGGATTTAAAGTAACTTTTATGTAATTAATACTAGTACAATTTTGATGGAGTATTTTTTAATTAAATAAATAAATTTGTATAATATACCTGTATATAAAGGCTTAATATATAAATGATTTAAATTGAACATTACAGTTTATAATTATTATCGAAGGTATCAAAAAATAAATAAACTGATTTAATTTAATTATAAATTTTATTAATAGTAATTATTATTAACGACCTAATACATATAATTATTATATTCATTATTTATAATTTTTACGGCACAGGTATCTCAAAGTCCAGCACATACTTACATAAAATCAAAAACACGGCAGACTCGGACCCCAACATATAATACACCAGTGGGTAAGTTATCTGAACTTGGTTATGATAATGTTTGTAAACATTTTAATTACTAATAATTTATATTAATTTGTTATCTAAAAACACATTAAATATATATCTAATTTATTTTTACAATTAGTAAATATATTCTACCTATTATTAAAATATTTTTGAATTGAAAATGATAAAATAATAGCAATATATTAATTTGCAAGGTATAAATATGATACAGTATCCATAAATGTTAAGTAAATTTTATTTACAATAAAAACATCTACTTAAATATTACTTATTTACTTACTTGTTAGTGCATTGTTAGGGCAAATAAAGTACATAAGATCGTAATTGTTGAATTCAATAATATTATAGTAAAAACTATTATTATATTTGTTATGTAAAAATGTGCCCAAGTGTGTACCAATGCGCAGGACAAAATTAGATACAGGTACATTTGTTGCGATAATAATGGGGTGACTTTTTTTTTAAAAACATATTTCTAGAAATAAATAAATATCTATCCGCAACAATATTCTAAACATTTATTTTTATATAAAATTGTACCAGTTATGTTTATAAACTAATATATTTTTGTTCATGATAAAATATGTCTACTAAAAAGTGTCACAAAATTAAATGTGCCGTGTGCGATGATATTGCTTGCGGTATGTTTATTTTATAATAAGTTTTAAACGTACCAGTATAATTTTCATTTTATGTATTTTTAAAACAGTTTATATGTTTTTCAAAAAATGTAATTTGTTAAAATAATCTAGGTCAAAATTATAAAGTGTGGACATGTGTGTCGTGTAAATCATTTTTTAGACGCAATGCCCACAACGTATCGGTAAGTTTGTACAAAATAAAAATAAATTTTTGAGCGAGTTAATTTATATATATCATGTTAATTCACTAATAACTTTCTAATATCAAGGATTTTGTGTGTTATTTTGCCGGCAATTGCGAAATCAATGCAATATCCAGAAAGTATTGTAAATGTTGCCGGCTATTCAAATGTTTTGCTGTGGGAATGAAACAGGTAAAATTTAATATTACAGTTTTTTTTAAATTGGTACATTTAAAAGTTTATAATGAATCATTATTATTGCAAAAAAAAATTATATCTATGCCCCTAATGCACCCCATTATCTAAAAATACCATTCAGTACAAAAATTGTAAACTAATGTTGAAACACTTTTACAAATTAATGCATGTCTTACAATGCTAGTTTGTAGTTAATAATTATAACCTTGACTGGTTTTTCATATAAACACATTGTATAATTGAGAAACTAAAAACTAGTGTTGTATATCATGTAATAATTTGTTAAAGTGTAGTCAAACACTAGTTTGTACTTTTCGCATAGATTTGCACTGGTAGTTTTGATTATAGGCCGTGATAATTCACAAATACTTTTTATTTCTAAGAAAAATTATATTTTTGTTTAAAGGAATTTAACTAATCCCTATATCTATGATAAAAAAATGCTACAGTTGCTCTTAAATAGATATATAGTACAGTAGATTAAACTAATTAATATTAGGCGTCATCCACAAAGTACGTACGCAAAATTTTGCTCAAAAATTAACCCCCCTCATACACACCCATCGTACATAGGAGTTTATCATGGGGACATACGCTTTGGCATGACACCCTCCCCCCTAGGCGTGCGTATGTACTTTGTGGATCACGCCTTATTAGAAATAAGCGTAAAATCAATAATTAGGTTTATTATTTTAATCTTATATTCTTGCTAGTTGTTTACTATTTGGTATATATAAGATTATGGTACTAGTATAAAAATGTTTGAATATAATAACACTTATTTGTCTCTCAAATATTTTTAACAGCGAATAAAAATATATTGAAAATATTTATAACGAATGCACCTAGTGCATCATATATTTATCTAACCCGTGATAATTCACAATTATTGTACTTTTGTTTTCAAGGAAAAGTAATATTTTTGTTTAAAGGAGTGTAACTAAGCTCTATATCTAAAATACCAGATTTCGAAAAAAGTTTTGTCCATCAGATTTGACTACTAAAATGCGGGTTATTGCTAAACTATTTAAGTTATGAAATTTATATTTAAACCTCAACTATGGTTTTTGGTCTTACATATTCTCTCACCGGTGCGACTAATTTTAATGATGTAGGACTTCCCGGGGACGGTATTTGCGGGGATCTCTATAAACAACATAGTATAGGAGCTAGTACATTTTTAATGGTGTTGATTATAATTTTTATTTTATCTTTTATATTTTATTTATTTTACTATTAGTCTATCTGGATGTCGACCCCAATAAAAGTGATCAAGCAACTAATTTAAGGGTCACTATAAATAACCAGGTCAAATTAAGTCGTAAATGGAGAATCAGGGTGTGACAAATAGAAAATTATTCACCGTTACAGGGTAAGTTATAACATACAAGGTACTATTAAAATTAAAAATAAATCAAATGTGCAGCACAATTTAATATTTTAAAAATTTTAATTCTAGGCTATAATTAAATATTTCAAATTTTTGTAGTTTATGTTTATGATTATTAGTTTTAATACATTTATGAATTATCACCTAGGTTTACGAGTTAGTTAAATAAACTAGTTCCAAAAAAAATTAAAATAATTTTAACGTATTTATAATACATTTTTGTAAATAATATAATTTTATTATAAATTATAATTAATTTTTAATTTTAAACATATTACAGCCCCGTCCGGTGCACTACAGTACTACACCGGCCTAACCGGTGTTGTGGAGAGTTTCAACTTCAATGGCTCCCCATATAAACAAATTATGCCCGCTAATATAACCGGGAACAAATCAATAAAAGTGTCTAGTCACCTAGATACACACTATTATAATAACATGAAATACACTATAAGTATAGCTACGCGCCCGAAAATGTGCTCGATCAAATGGACGGCCATTAACATGGACTACGGAGGTCGGTATGAGTCAGTATCGGGTACTGAACTAAATTGTCACAGGTACGATATTATCGAGGACATTGGCGATTACATTGTGATACCCATGAGTTCACTCAATGGACATAATCTGTTAAACAATGTCTACTGTGGACAGCGTTTAAGCGCAGAGTTATCCCCGCAGGGCTCGGGTGTGGATGAACCGGTTGTTTGTATGTATTATCTATTAATTTTTAAATTATAGTAGCAATGGTATTGATTTGTGAATGTTTTATCAAGCTCAATTAAAGCCGTTTCAGTTGATGGTGCGCTCGGACTCGTTTCCCATTAATCCGGAAATTTCGACACCCGGTATATTATCGCAACAAAAAGGGTTTCAATTGCGTTACGAACA